GGTCCAGCATCCCATGAACATCGTGAATAAAGCACCAACCGGGACCCCACGCACACAATCTTCGAGTTGTGTATAGCGAACATGACAAAACATACATACAGCATAATCATTACCTTACTCTTCCCGAACCACATCAACAAACGAGCTACGGGCTGCGCACCCGTGCCCTCACGGTAAGTCAATCTCAGGCCGTGTTTGGCAGGTCATTACAGGCCGCCTTGCCCACTTGTTTTCCAGTTTTGCTTCTTCTGCGCCTTGTTCACTGCGGTGGAGCTCCTCGTCATTTTGTCAATCACTTGTGGATTGGAGGGAAGTGCTGCGAGTGCATATTTGCCCAACATTCTGGAGCTTCATTGCTGGTATGGTGTCTGTTCTGCTGTGCCTCGCGTCCTGAGCAGTTCGGCAGCTACATATGCATATTGTTTGCTTTGTGCTGTGCCCCTTTGTGCCTCTTTAACTGACACTCTCTAAAAGTCTGCTGACAAAGGGCTCTGGAAGGGGCATATGGAAAGGCTTTGTGATGTCCATCCTTTGCATAGTAGACTAAACTTGTTCCAGAGTTGTATGAGGCAAGGGAAGCCCTTGTGATCTTGTGAATTATTGCTGCTGCAGCCCGCACAGGGTCTGCTTATTGCCACTGCCACTTATGCTTCTGCTGCATTTGGTGCTTTTTTAGTTCAACAGCTGCGGATGTGATCAAACCATCTCATGGTTACCTGTTCACAGGTTACCAATCACTGTGCTGTTGCGCTATGATGCCGGTCAGCTGTACCTGCATAATCTAAACCTTGGTCGCTTCCATCTTCTTTATTCTGGTTAGATGCATGGATGAAGTTGTGCATGGCATGGTCAAGGAAGCATGTAGTACGGATGCCATCTTTGTATGTTGTTGTGGTTCACCCTTATCATCTGCACCAACCTTGCCTTTCCACCCTGTGTAGATTTATAGCTACATTGCCCTAACTTCTACCCCAGAATACAACGTACAGTCATCGTAGCTGTACTTAGATTGAAAGATACCCCAAATACAGCTATGATGACCTTATGATGTATTCGGGGGAAGAAGGTAGGCTCAGCATTCGCTGCACTTGTCATCAAATGCCTCCTGGGCCTTCCCACTGTGCTGCTTCCACAGTGCAGCGTCTCTTGAAGTGCTAGGGCTTGCAGGGTGCCTCTCTGTGTAGGGCAGTCTCTACCCGACAATCAAGCGAAGGTGGACTGAAGAACTGAGAATGGTGTGCACGGTGCAGGGTACATGGTGCAGGGTGCAGGAATGGTCATGTATGAGGAAGAAAGACAGTGCGTGGTCGTTCTCCTGTCTGCATGTTGATGTGTTAAGGGGCTTACGAGAGGAGGCTGCATGCAGGGTGCAGGGCTTGCGTGATCTGGACTCTGCCATACTCACTCGTCATGCTCACTGGAAAACAAGGAGTGTGATGTCAAGTAATCACTGGAGCAGGGTTGTCGAGGTTGACCGAGTTTGTCCTGATGAATGGTGGTGATGTTGTCAGGAGACTCATGAGAGTAACAAGTTGGGTCGCCTTTGATGATTTACTTTGACTTTCTGTATGTCTACAGGAGGTATTTCCAGAGGTTACGGTGGCAAAGAAGTCCGTTGACTGGGGTGAAGATTGGCCTTCAGAAGATGATGAAGATGACGACTATGATCCCCTCCACAGAGAAGAGCAGGCCTCCTTGGCCAGTGCGAATGACGGCAGCTCAACTTCGGAGGATTCCGGAGAATGTTCTGAATCAGACAATGAATGCAGTGACACTTGCTCTTCAGAAGTGTCAGAGGGAAGTGGGGTCGACCAGGACTCTCCCGGTCTACCCAACTCTCCCGGTCTACCCAACGATAAAGAAAACGCTGGTATTCGAAGAGTTCGTAGAGCAAGGCGAAGAGTGGGTGGTGAAGGGGTACCGTGGGACAACCCGGACTTAGCTGCCGATGTGCCATCCTCAAGCAACAAGGGCAACTCCATCCTTCAGTTGACCTATGCAGTTGGCAGTGATTGCGATGGGTACAACAACACCGCAGGTGATCTGGATGCGGATGCGGTTGTCCTGGGGAAGCGGAAGCGGACCCCTGTCGACTACAAGAAGCTGCATGATGTGAGTGTGAATATCATGTATGATTGCCACCACACTAAAGGAATCACTTTTTGTCATAACTGGCCGATCTGGGCAGTGTGCGGATGGACAGCTCAGATCCAGTACAGTCATAAAAATCAAAGACTAGCCGCAAATCTGGGCCATCCGCTTGCATGGATGGGTGGCCAGGATGCCCAGCTGGTCTGGACATTTTGGTGATCAGCCAGTGATCTGGGCTGTCCGTCGTCACACAGTCAAGATCATCGGCTGATCACCAAAGTATTCGGCTGAGCATCTGGGCCACCACTGGTGGACTGCCCAGATGCCATGCGTGAACTTGGGAGAATGGCCCTCAAAGGATGACAAGTGCATATGGGCCAGATTGCGTGCCAACTACTGCCATGCCGGCTGTCATGTTGGCTGGTACCTACTGCCCTTTGTCTGTTCCACTCTCTCTCTCTCTCTCTCTCTCTCTCTCTCTCTCTCTCTCTCTCTCCCTCTCTCTCTCTCTCTCTCTCTCTCTCTGTGTGTCTCTGTCTCTCGCTCTCTCTCTCTCTCCCTCTACGCCCGTGCTTTTGCCGTAGTATGAACAGTATGTTTCCCCTTCGCACAATTACGGACAAAATCCTTCTTGATTTGCAGTCTCATCTAGTTGTTCATCTCTTCGAACCAATCGACCATCGAGCACCTACCTGCGTCAACTTGGCGACACCGGGAAACGTGACCGCGTAGTTGTTTGTAAACGATATTAACCTATGAATCCGTCTCTGAATTCTTTCACAGGATCACAATCGAACTACCGGTCTTCCATCTGAGATATATTCTAATGAGCTCAGGCGAACGCGGAGATGGTGATTCGTCTCATTCCGCAAATCTTGCGGTGTCTCACTGGTCTCCACAACCAGTTCGTCCCCTCGACCCTTGGGACAGACAGGATCAGGATAGCAATCGCTACAGAGGTGCCGCCAGCTCGCAGAGAGCCGTGCCGGGCAAAACCTACAGGATAGCAATCGCTACAGAGGTGCTGCCAGCTTGCAGAGTTGATGGCTCCTTCTCGTGACGACCTCTCAGACCCCGTTTCAGGCGGAGGAAATTCCAACCATCTGAGAACTGTTCGCGTCCGTATCCGACCCCGCTGCCCATCCACTAGGTAAAAAACAGTCAGGGATTCTCTCCGTTTCCATCCTCTAGATAAAAAACAGTCAGGGCCTCGCCACATCACTGTCCAGACCAGAAAAGCGCTACTGCATGTTCCAGCACCTGGCGGCCAGATGCATCCGTTACTATTTATAGTATAGTAACGGATGCATCTTGCCACTTTCTGGGTTGGATGCACTCGTACTTTCATGGTTTTCTACAGTGGTACGGCGAGGGCATAACGAATGAAGGTCAATCGACCGGCGCAAAGTAGGCGCCTCGCATCACCACTCTCTACTTACGGAATTTGGAGGATTCGGCGTGACTCCCTATCCAACTTGGGAGGCGGAGAAGCAGTGGAAAGCTCTCAGGGCCTTGTCACACCCCTGTCGAAACCCAAAAAGTACGAGTGCTTTTTTTTTTTTTTTTTTTTTACGAGTGCATTTTCCCGCAGAAAATGGCAAGATGCGTCTGTTGCTATGAATAGCAGAGGATGCATCTTGCGACTTTCTGGGTAACATGCATTCGTTCTTTTTTCGTGTCGGCCGTTGTGTGGCGAGGCCCTCACAATGTGCCCTGAGAATGATCTCTCCAAGCTTCCGGACTTCTCAGCCTGCACATTCGGCTATTTTGGTCTCGCTCCACGGCTCTCCATTTTGTGCTGTTGGAGAGTGAGGGTATGCTCACACGAGGACCCAAAGTCTCAAAATTTTGAAGCATTTGGGTAGGGCCTATTTGGGACTTCAGGTCCTCTTGAGGTCACACGGGAGGACTTCCTCCAGAAAGGACTAACACTTCTCCCTCAGGGCAAGTGTGCATAGTCACAAGGGCGAGGACCAAAAGAGTCGATGGAAATATATATATATTTTTGTAGGCCAAAATCACCTTAGAAAGTAGATGGATCCATTTATGGATTAATAGCAAAAAATATTGCCTTTTCGAAGTTTGGCCGCAAAAATGTCGTCCTTTCCAAGTTTCCTTTGCAAAAATAGATGTTTCGTTGCAGCTTTATCGGGTTCCCATGAGTTTGCCAGCAAAAATAGCGCTCTTTGAGTTTTACAGAAAAGGACACCTAGGCCTCTGGACTCAGGGACTCAGCGTTCTGGCCTCAGGCACTTAGCGTTTTTTTTTGTTTTTTTTTTCTGGGTATGGCCAGCGCATCTGGGCGTGCCCACGGCCACGGAAAAAAAAAAAAGCACAAGAAACTTGGCAAAGGCATCTCCAGCGTGGCCAGGCACACGGGAAAAAAAAAGAAAAAAGAAAGAGGAAGAAGAGAAAAGGCTGAAAAGCTGAGTGCCTGAGTCCCTGAGGCCGGAACGCTGAGTCCCTGAGGCCAGGGGCCTAGGGGTCCTTTGCTGTGAAACTTCGCAAAACGCGGTATTTTTGCTGGCAAACTAAGAGAAACCTGATAAAGCTGCAACGAAAACTCTATTTTTGCAAAGGAAACTTCGAACGGATGGATGACATTTTTGCTCCCAAGCTTCAAAAAAGCAATATTTTTGAAATTAACCCTTTATTTATTTTTTCCTTACAATGTACAAGGGCCTGGCTTAACTAATTTTAAAATGTGCAAAATGAGAGTGAATCCACCTCTAGAAGATGGATACATACATTGCCATCTTTTTTGTCTTTTATTTGGCAGGCTGATTTCTTCGTTAGGGTTTAAGGTCATTGGGTCCCGGTGTGAATATGCCCTGAGGCTTCCCTCCACAACACCTGCAGAACTTCCTTTTGCTAGGATGTTGGAGAGTGTCACAATGGAGAGTAAGTGTGGCATGCGTCTATCAGAACCTACAGCTCAGAGACAATACTAAAACGGAAAACTGTAATACCAAGATTTGAGTCAGCATGGTCAATGACAGGACCTGACAGCATACATCATCACTCAGAGAGAGGGGGAGAAGGCGAAGGGGGTCGCCAGGCCACCAACGGTTCCTGGAAGCCGAACGTTGAAGTCCGTGCCGTGCCCGGTAGGAACTCCAATGGACCAGCCGACGAAAATTCGATGCCGACGACGGGTGCCCTTGCCGCTCCGACTATCACGGATCCTTCACCTTGGGGGACCTCGGGAGGCATGGGGGAGGGCACAAAATGGCTGTAGCCCGAGAATGCCCCGAGGATTCCTCGAGAAAATGTTTTCACTTTTTTGCTTTCATTTTTTTCCCCGAGGATAGGTGAAATGATAATTTCCTTGGGGAAATTACGCACCCGAGGAGTGTCCAACGAGCCCCGTAGTATATGTGTGTGTGTGTGTGGGTGGGTGCGCGGGTGTGGGTGTGTGGGTGTGCCGCGGGGGTATGTGTGTGTGTGCGTGTATGCGTGCGTGTATGTGTGTGCGTGTATGTGTGTGTGTGTGTGTGTGTGTGCAGGAGGGGGGAAAGGGGGGGAACTGCCCCCCAACCAAATTTCTTGAACGACATATATCCTCCTGTTACTGGATTAAGACCTCCGCGAAAAGTTAGAAAATCTGAGTATGCTGACCAATTCAAAGTAAAAAAAGGCATCAAGCCACCCTTAAAACTTGGATATAATTGGTCCATAAGATCTCTATTTA